TATCGCATCTTATGGATGTGACAACAAGGGCAATCTCACAAATGACACCCTTATCCAAAGTACACCTTTTCTTTAAATGACATCCTTATCTCATAATATACTTTTCCTTGATATGACACCCTTATCTAATAGTACACTTCTCATTGATATATCACTCTTATTTCCTCATTAAATCTGCAGATAAATCTGCAGTTTTAGCTAATAATGGCCTCAAAACAGTTTCATAGCAAAAAATTTATCTCAAAAACATTCACAGTTCTTAAACCCACTTTTCAATATCATCTCAACATCTCTTTCAAAAACAATTTACTCATCTCATCAGTTTTGAAATAACAGCAGTACATTTCTCAAATTCATAACAACATTTGAAAGATTCAAAATAAACAACTTTAGTCCTCATCGGACACCACTTGGCCGAATACCCCTTCATTGGACAACACTCACCCGATGACTACCCTCATCGGACAGGCCTTGGGCGATAAACAATCCTTATCGGCCAACAATTGGAAAATAAAAACATACTCACCGGTCAATAAAAACATTCTAATCTAGATTTTGGGTATAGGATGGGTTGATAATAAAATTAGGTTTGATTTATTAAAAGGAGGTTGAAATAGAAAATAGTCTTGAATGCTCTTATATGAAATACTCAAATATGGAGTTAAACTAGATGTAAGGGTTGATTTTTGGTTTGATTTTGAGTTTTTTAGTGTGTGAGATTCGAGGGTTCGCTGGAGAAGATGACGAGGGGGTTCACAGCTGGGAAGGGTTAAGGGAGGTGGTTCGTCGTCTAGAAACATGGCAATATTTAAGTGGGTAGATTAAATGGACCGTTAATTATCAAAGAAAAATGTGATAAAGTATAAAAAGTTAAACTACCCCTCATTTAACAGGATTTTTTAAACTACCGTTAAAGGTAAGAACAAATCCGGACGTTTTTGTAATTTCGAACATTTCAAAATTGCACAGCCTAAAAGTGTCATTTTTGACAAACCATAAGATCAAATTTATAGCTTTCGCATTATTTTATAATGTTATTATTCAATAAATTTAATCAACCAAAAAGATTAAATACAATCTTTTTAAAATGTTTCTCTAAATTTTATGAATACTAAAGTTATATATTTCTTCTGTTTAATAAATAATAAAACTTTGATCAATAGATTAATACAATAATTAATTAATTAATCAATTTTTTCCTATAATTAACAAACTTTATTTTTATTCATATCATCTATGGACGTTATTTAAACTATCAATTAATGTGACTATGGAGGTGTTTGGAATTGCTTATTTGAAACAACTTATGTTTTTCTGCAAAAAATTTTATCAACTTATTATAAGTTTAAATGGTTTAACTTCTTCAAAAACTTATTATTACCGACTTGACAATGGTATAAGTTGTTTATCCAAACATTCAAAAGTGTTTATTACCGGTGCTACACCGGAATAAATCAATAAGTTGTTTTTATAAACAATCCCAAATACCCCTGTATGTTTATACTTGATTAAATTTATAAAGTTTATTACATTCTTGAACATGCGATCATCAGATCGGGAAATTTGTAGTAGTATGTAAATATGATAAGGAATGCAAAGAATGGATATTATATATGAATAATTGAAAAAAATTCTTTATTTATGTTACTACTTATCTTATTATAAAATGCGTTCGTGATTTCGTCAGATCATATTATGTAATGTTATGATTAAGTCATTTTTTAACGGTTATTTTAGGTCATTTTACATTTATCATCCAACTTATTAATTAGCTTTACCTAACATGATTATTTTATCATATACTTTGTCAGTCAACAATTAACTTATCAGACAACTGTTGATTTATCAGTTAACAATTATGTTTATGCCCTTATTTGTCTAATTTTGATAGATAATCGCAATCATAATATTAGATGAGTTGAAAAAAAAAAGTGATATATTATCATATTCCCATAATTAACTCGGATCTTATTCTAACAAACCCGTACTTACACACAAATTCATATATAGAAGTTGGGTTTCGAGAAAACTCTACAAAATAGAAAACAGATGAAAGATATTATCAATGTAGATGTTAAATGAAAAAGAATAAAATTATCGTGCTTTTGTTTACAAAAGAATTGAAAAAACCATGGAACACCCTAACATCCTATGTATAATTTGCGATCCATTGATATTTCAATTCTTGAGACTAAGGGGCCGTTTACCATACACTTACCCGGTAAACATTTACCGGTAAATTTAACACTATCATTTACTTATCAGGGAAGATTTTAGTCCATCAAAACGATATCGTACACAACAATTTACCCGGTAAGCGCTTACCGTGGTAAGAGTCGTCGCCCTGACTTGCCGGGTAAGACTCTTGGTCTTTGTCTCGTTCTTATCGGGCAAGATTTTTGGTCCTTACCATATTCATCTGATAAGGTAATGAGACTTGATGTTCACTTACCCAAGTAAACGTTTGGTAAACAACCCCTAACTCTTACTTATAAGTATAAAGGACACAAACGTTTATCCAGGCATCGCTTACCGTTAAGATTCGACACTCTAAATTTATCAGGTACAATTATATTATATCAAAACGACATTGTATGCAATAATCTACTCGTTAAACACTTACCGTATAAGACTTTCCATCCTTACATCACACTTTTCGAACAAAATTAAAATTTTCAAATAAAATTTTCGACCCATATCATATCCATTGATAAAATAAACAATCCAATAAACAAATAAAAGTTTAGTAAATCGCCCTTCCTCAAATTTTAATGAAACAATGTTGATTTTGAAGGGAATGGCACAGGCAAAGCATCCACTAAAAAAAGAACATTTACGAGGTGTTTGATTTTAAAAAGATATACCTTGGTTATATTTCATCTCTCCAAGAAGTTTAGTCAATCGTATTATGGGCCGGAGCAATAAATCTATTTGAAGTGAATAAGATTTCTCGTAGATCTATCCAATTTTTTCGGGTTAACGAAAAGAAGTTCTCATAGTCAGTTAATTTTTTTTTGAAATATAAGATATTTTGATATAATGATAAAAAATTCTACTTAGAGGTCCACTAGAGATCAGAAATTACCTCTTAATACCTCTCAAGTCTGATTCGTTCAGACGTTTAGGTCTTAAGAGCATTTGTTTTATTTCTAAAGTAAGAGTTTAAAAGTTCTAAATGTCATCTGAAATTTTAAGTGGTAAACGTATCTCTTAATACCTTTTAAGTAAAAACTACTTATCTTTTATATTTTTGTAAAAAAAACTATTTATCTTTTATATTTTTGCATTAGTTTGACCGATTCAGGTTTCAGACTTTAGACATAAAAACAAACAATCTTACTCATCCATATTTCAAAACTTCAGGACCACTTCTTATAAATTCGAAGTGAAACCAGACTTCAACACCTTTTAAAAAACAAGCGTCACCTTAGTTTCAATTTCATTTAGGGCAATTTGCATGAAAAAAGTGACGTACTTTAATTTGCTTTCTATTTGGGTAACATACTTTCAGAACTTCCATTTTAGTATCTAAGATGTAAAATTTTAAACACTTAAGTATCCGAGTAACTGGTTGAAGCATTAACCGGTTACTATACTGATGTGATATCTAACTCAGTATTATTTGCTATTCAACCTAATTTCATCCCATCACTCGCTACATCAGCATGGTAACCGGTCAATTCTTTAACCGATTACCCAAGTATTTAATGGTTTTAAAACTTTATATCTTAGATATCAAAACGAAAGTTCTAAAAACATGTCACCTAAAATAAGAATCAAATTAAAGTACACTATTTTTTTTATGCAATTTGTGATTTCATTTATATATTATCCATTGGGGAAAACTGCACCAAAATGGAACCAACTTTTATCTAATTCCTATTTTGGGGAACAAACTTTCAAAATCGTTATTTTGGGGAACCAACTTGCACCTGATTCCTATTTTGGGGAACCAACTTGCACCTGATTCCTATTTTGGGGAACCAACTTTCAAAATCGTCATTTTGAGGAACCAACTTGCACCTGATTCCTATTTTGGGGAACCAACTTGCAAAATAATTATAGGAAAATAACTAAAATTCGTTTTTCCAAAAATTAATGCAATAAAATCTATTTTTTTTATTTCAAATCTCGTTTTTTTTAATTCAGATATCAAATTGAACATTTTTTGAAAAAAAAAATCCAAATTACCACAATAAGAATTGTTTTTTACTAATGTAAAAAATATCAATTTAATAAAAAAAAATTAATTGATCCAATAAAAAATAAATATTAAATATCACATTCAAGATTTTTATATTTACATAATTGCATCAATTAATTTTTTTTTATTAGATTGATTTTTTTTTGTATTAGTAAAAAACAATTTTTATTGTGGTAATTTGGATCTTTTTTAAAGATGTTCAATTTGATATATGAATTAAAAAAACGAGATTTGAAATGAAAAATAAAATTATTGCATTAATTTTTGGAAAAAAATGAGTTTTAGCTATTTTTCTATAATTATTTTGTAAGTTGGTTCCTCAAAATAGGAATCAGGTGCAAGTTGGTTCCTCAAAATGACGATTTTGAAAGTTGGTTCCCCAAAATAGAAATCAGATGCAAGTTGGTTCCTCAAAATGATGATTTTGAAAGTTAATTCTCTAAAATAAAAATTAGATGAAAGTTGATTCCATTTTTATGCAATTTTCCGATATCATTAATATAAAAGTATTGCAATTATATGAAACATGAAACGAAGATTCCATCAAGTTTACTAACGGCGTTAATAGCAAAACATATCAACGATGTATGTGTGGGTCGGGAGTTTTACACCGTACGTAACTGCTGAACGTGTATAAGATGGAATCCGGACCGTTGGATTTTAAATCAACGGCCGAAGATGTATTCTCTCCTCTGTTCGGAGTGGATCGATAAACCTGAACATGGAGTCTGCTATAAAAAGGGGTTCCGAATGAGAGAGAAAAAACATGTCGTATGCACAAGAACACCCTCTTCTTCTTCTTCTTCTTCTTCTTCTCTCTAAAGAGTTTTTTCCCTCACTATTTCTATGGTAAATCGGAAATCATAGATAAATTTCCAAGGGGAATTCGGTGAGTGAAATGTTGAAGTTGTTGCATTTCTTTTCTTGTTTTTGTTTGATTCAAAAGATCCGCAGCTGCAGTAGATTGTATGATTTCAGATTAGAGATTGGCGTTTTATATTTTAGTAATAACAGAGCTTATTTCTTGAATTTTCGTGGATGCATTTGATCTGGTTGATGAATTTTAATTTCCTGTTATGATTTTGTTTTGAATTTTCACAAGAAGATGGATGGTTGAAATTTCACAAGGATTCGGATTAAGACTCTAGCGGTTAAAGGCTTGACATCGATTTTGTAATTCGATTGTTTTAGGGATTAATCGGAAGATTTGCCTGATTTTCCTTTGCAGATAGATTATATGAACAAAGGATTTTGTGAAAGTGGATGCAGCTTTGAGGAGCTGCCAATTTTCTGTTATTGAGCTTTTAACTCTTCTGGATTTGGAATCCGAAGGAGAATCGGAGATATTGTAAGCTTGGAGGTTTGTGATGATACAATTTTTGCATTGTTTCGCTTGATGATTCTATTGTCCGATGAATCAATGGTTGATTTTCTAAATATCGACAGGTTGATTTAAAGGTGATTGGAGATAAATCTACAATCCAAGATCGAATTTGAAGATGTTTTTATCTGTGAAATGTTCATCATTCCCCTAAATCTTTGAGAATTGCTGTGTCTAAAACCGTTGAATCCAATCCCAGGCTATGAAGATGGGCAAACAAAGTAAATAATTAGTATCGATCATTGTGATTTTTGCTTTATCTTAATCCAATCACAATTTCAGCTAACGAATCCTTGATCGCTCTGTACTTTTTGCAGTTTCATCCTTCTACTTTTGTTGATTCTTCATCGAGGTTTCTATTTTTCGAGATAGAGCAGATTAAAGCTTAAGAGGTAATGTTAATCAACTCAGAACATAAGCCTTTCTTCATCTTCATCACCATATTTTCATCATTTTTTGGTTTGGATCTCCATTTTTGCCACTTTGCTTTTATCATCCAAAAATTCAATGTGACAATGTTCATCATCGTATTTGAATTTGATCCATTCTCCATTTCTCAAGGTTTTTCTTACTGAAATGGTTTTAGTTTCAGAGGAACTGGATACACAGTGTGGTATTCTTCGATCTCAATCATTCTTTCTTCTGGTTCCGAGAAAGATTATAAATCCAACTAAAAGAAAACCGAAAATTTCTCAATAATTTTGTTGAATCGCAGAAAGTTGTTCAATGTTACCATATCAAATCTAGATCTTCATACAAACACCCCCATTTTATGAACAGAATACTAAATTCACATCGATTTTTTGATTTAATTTAGAGAATTTTCATCATCCAAATTTAAATTTCATCAGTTTCCCCTTTTTTTTTTTTATCTGTTTCTGTTTCTGTTTCAATATAATCTAACTATGGTTAAGGGAAAGTGATAAGTAGGTAAAGGTAAACTAACCATGGTTAGTTAATTGGTAACGTAACAGGTGTATTATTAAAGAGGAAAAAATGGAGAAGAATAACTCTAACAGAGATGGGTTGTTATTGAGAGACAGATCTCCGGCCACTAATACCACCACGACATCATCATCGGACTTCGTATTGCAGTGGGGTAACCGGAAACGATTGCGTTGTATGAAGGTCCAACAACAACAACAACAACAACAACAGGCCAAGGATAAAGAATCGGCGGCGGCAGTGGCGGTTTCCGGTACACCGCCGGTTGGTCAACGATCGATCACGGCACGAGTTGATCGCCGGATTGTTAGGTCGCCAAATCATCAGAGTAAAGAAGGCGTTCCCGGTAACGGTTACATTAATCTCCGTCAACGATCATCTTCGCCGGCTCATCGGGTACTCAGGTATACTTTAATCATCAATATATTTGTTGAATAATATGCATAATTGAGTCTATTTATTTATAATTGAATTAAATTATTATATTTGGTGGGTGTGGGTGTCATCCATACAGAGTGAGGGAATAAAAATAACGGTGAAAAGAAACAATTTTTTTTTTGTTAAATAATATAATCTAACTAGAAAAACATTTTTTTTGTTAAATAATATAACTATGTTTTATTATATATCTTTTGCATCGTAATTTTTTGTTTAGATATTTTATTGATTTATCTATATCTATACTATATTATAAAGCATTTGGCTAAAACTCTTAAAAACTCTTAAACTCTTAAAAACTCTTAAACCTCTTCATCTCTATCCGATTTCATCCCATATCTGAATTCGTGTAACTAACTGCAGATAAACACAATCAAATACAGGATAAACATCTCATTTTAAATATAAA